TCAGACCTCTATAATTATTATAGGGGTCTTAGTGAGGAGAATTTGGTGACTGACCTCATATCTTTAACAAATAAATAAAAGCCATATAAGTCTTCTCCCATCTTTCTACTGTAGAGGTACTGTACTAAAATACTGTAGTTCTCCATTATTCTAAAATTCTCTAGTTATGAAAAGTACTCCGAGGACATATTTCACCAGAAGAAGTGTTTCTATTCAAAGTAAAAGATAAAATGGCATTTGAGAAATAAAAACATTTTCCATGTTCCTGTTGAGTTAGAGAAAAAACAAGTGGAAGTTTGGGAGAATGAGAAATGCCACAATCCTGTTGAGTTAGAGAAAAACAAGTGGAAGTTTGAGAAAATGAAAAATACTGTGGGAACAGGAATCATAGGCAAGTGTTTCAAAAGCTCTAGCAAAACATTCATGAGTGAAATCCCAGACTTTCATGAGTGTTTCTATAACTCAAAAGGGTCATGGAGAAAATGTTGTCAATTTCTTTTACCAAACACTTTGAGAGAAAGAAAGGAAAGTCACTTGATTACTATTTTGATTATTAAAATGTAAATTCTGTTTGATTGTGTTGTCATTGCGTGAAGGGCTTATGCAAGTGCTGTGTTGCTACCGAGTTATAGAATTATGGCTTTTTCACACACTTCTTTCAAGGGTGTTCTCTAAAATAATAATGTTTACTGTTCACTAACATTGACATAAATATCTTTTAACTACGCTAATTTGCCAACCATTAAACAAAAGAACTTTCAGTTCCAACGGCCAGTGAATTTCTGATTGGAGTATTATAACAAAAAGCGACCTTATGCAAAATGCCACAGACTACTCTTGAGTGTGAAATAATTTCTCATTTCCTGAATCTTGCTGGTAAAAACTGTGAAGCAGCTTGTGCATGTAGACACACATTGCAGAAAACAACTAGAAAAATCTGAACTTTCACTGGAATTTGCACTATGACCTGCTTTATCATTCTTTATCAGCAGGCATGCAGACATATAAAAAATAGAAATAAGTACCTAAAACAAGCAGTAACTATTTCCAGTGACCCTGATCTTTCATCACATCCACACCATATTATTTTTAACATATATTGTCAAGCCAAAAAAGATTCAACCAAGAATTCATGCTTCCTCTAATATATAATTTGCATGTGTTTGGTATCAGCTGACTCAAAGATGTCAC